AGATTGCTACACAAAAAAAATCAAAACAAGGGTTAAGAAATTATACCGTCATTCTTGAAACCATTAAATTATTTAAAAATGTTAACTATATTGTTTTAAAAATATAAAATTGTTTTAAAAATTTAATGATCCTTCGAAAATTGGGTTATAAATAGTATTTTCTTTAAAGTGCAAATGCTTTTGTGTTCCAAATGATCAAGTTACCAATACCAACCAACTGAAACTTTTCCTCAGTGTAAGCTCAATTTGTACAAAGAGAGATTCTCACATAAAGAGAGTCCCCATACAACACCACGGTCAATGCCAAGTGCGAGCCGTATTTTCCACAACCTTATCGCCTTATCTCGCAGCCAAAACAACAACAAACGTAAAAACAGCGACTGGCTAGTTAATCCACACGAAACGGGGACGTTCGCTTGACAACCTGACGTTGATAGCGCCGTCTTATTAGTCTAGATTCGAATTTTGGGGTGTATCAGGGTTTGGCATCATATGGTACAATGTATACACAATTACATTGGCTTTGTACTAAATAAGACCAGACAACGTTGCGTATGAGTTATTAAGGTCAGAATTATCTAAAATAAGGTACTTATTATAAATGAAGTTTTAAAATCATATTTTTTAAGATATTTCTTTAATAGATCCTACATTTTTTAAAAACCTCGATTAATATTTTTTTGTTTAGCCCGAAAAATATCAAAAAAATGTTATAAAGATTTTTTTTTAATTGTGTATTATAAATTTAAAATGAAGCGGAAATTCCAGGGTATATGAAATATGGCATAATCGAAATTTTCGCCGCCCGACGTTTCTTTTGCCATTTTTGTTTTTGCTGATTACAATATTTTGTGACGCTGCCCATTATCGCCCGGTTTTAGTTGCTCGAAGGGGTGGGGGGTTGGACTGGGAAAGTGCTGATGGACGGGTGGTGAGGAGAAGGGGGAGGGGTGGTGAATTGCTTGTTAGGCGTAGATGCAAGTAGATGCAGTGAGTGGGCACTTGGAGCCACTCGAGTGTCTCCACATGTGTGCGTGTGCTTATGTGTATTGACATTGACACGATGCAAAGTGCAAGCTATCATTTTCAAGAATTTTAACTCTGTATTCGGCCACGTCTCGTCGCAAAGGTGTTAAGTGAGTGGGCAGAAAGGGAGAAAGGCGTATTTGTAAAGGGCCCAGCTGCTGGTTTGGTGGATTGATCGATAACGATCCCCAAGCAAAGTAGCCCGAAATGGGAGATGAAATACGATGGTGTTATGGAATATGGAATATGAAATACGGAATATGGTATATGGCAATGAATATGCAAATGGCTGATGAAATATTCATGAACGCAGCCGCGCCCATCAACATTATAATTGGGCCCATAATTAATGCTCACACATACAGTTGCGAAAAAAATAATAGCACCACTTCGTCACAGGTTCTTAATATTAAAGAAATATGTGAAAAACTGGGATTTTTATATAAGAAGTGTTTTTTATTATCTTGATTAGTATTCCACCTATTTGAAAAAATTGATACGGGTATCGAAAATATTGTCTACATATAATTTTTTCAGATTTTAAGAAAAAAAGCCAAAAAAAGGCCGAAAGAAATAATAGCACCACTTCCGTTTTCTTTAAATAAAACGTTACGATGCGCTAATATTCTTGTGTATAAAGGATATATTTTATGAGATTTGACTAAAACTAACTTCTCCTGATATCCAGACATCAAATTGATTACCATTTGGCAATACAACGACATGTGGAAAATTTTCCCAGTCGGAAAAGAAAAATATTCAAAAAAGAAACATATTGGATGGAAAACGGTCATGAAAACCGGTTCGATTGGTTAGGTTTTGGATCATCTTCATTAAGAATGTCATAAACTTTGAAGGATAACACAGAAAAACCGAGTCCTGGCCCATTTTTCCTTCCAAAATGTTATATTACAAAGCACAAAGAATCTTATCAGGGCCAAAACAAAACTAAAACACGTGCTTAAAATAATAGCGAATATTTTAATAATTGGATAATGTTTCAATAAACAAATTTATAAAACATGCACTTAAAAAAAAAATCCTATCCGAAATGCGAAACACATTTACAAGGGCATAGGGCTCGTCATAAAAAGTTACAAATGAATGCCCGCAAAACTTATCAGAATGTGTGAAGGCAAAGTTAAATTGGGTAAGAAGAAATCCATTTTATAAGTCATGTGTCTTCTAAACACCTAAATTGACCAAAAACACGGTACCAAAACATCCATTTATTGAGCATGGACCTAGTATTAACATAGGCTTGTTTTTCCTTCTTGAAGTAAGATCAATACGGATGAATACATCGTTCATGAATCATCCTATGATGTAAATAGTAATACGGTAGTAATTCATAGCTTAAACTGAATACAAAATACTTCTTAAATGAATCTTTGACCAATAAAATCCGGCCAGGATCACGGTCAGGATAGCAAAGAAAGTGTTCGAAAGTACTCAGTAAGCAATATACATTGACTTGTGTACTCGCTTGACCATAACACAACCAAAAATATTCGAGTTTTTTTTTTTAAAGACAGTTTATACAGTTAATCTAAAACGTCTTAAATCATTTCCGAACAAAATTTGAAAATATATCATGACTTTTGGGCCCCAATTCCTTTATAGGTAGGGTCCTGACTTGTTTAATCGATAGTAAGTCATTATATCCAAAAATCGCAAAAGATTTACACTTTAAACTTAGATTTACTTGTTAGCTACCGCCAACTAAAGATTAAGTTACCCATTTGTCATTTTTCTACCTTTTATTCTATTTTTAGAGAAGTGGTGCTATTATTTTTTTCGTACGTTTTTCCAGTTTTGCATAGATTTTCTTAAATAAGTCCAGAAACCTTTTATAAAGCTAACATTTTTTTTCATATTCAAATTATGTTTAGTCATACTATTTCAAACCCGTTTTGAAAAGTTAAAAAAGTTAAAAAATGTGAGTAGGGTGACTAGTTAAAGTTTTTTTGGGTTAGTGGTGCTATTATTTTTTTCACAGCTGTATGTAGGCATATATCTGGTATCTGGTCTATGTATCTCGTTGCTGTTTATGCTGCCCGCCATTCAGAGGTGTCACAGGGATTTGCATATAAAAAATCGAATGGATTTATGGGCTGTCAATGCCGCTGGCAAATCGAGAGCGTTCGATCGTCTATCTGTATCTGTAGCACTGTATCTCTCTATCGCCCAGTGGAATCATTTTGAAAAGTCAAATAAACGCACAAAAAAATTCCACTTAGCCAAGTTGCGAACCCCCACGCATTAGCAGGTACACTGGGGGAAAACTTCTATGATTGTTGTTACGAAGAAAATATTATTAATATTATGATGACGAATATATTCGATAACTTTATATCACGAGAAAAATAATTACTTTTTTTAAATAAATTAGGTTTTTTTCAGTGTCTCTAACTGGAACTTGTTGCCTGCTGGGGGTGTGGGCGCATTGCCATAAATAGTAAGAGTGTGCCACAAAACTATTTGGGTACAGTTGGGGGCGCCATTGTAATTTCAAACATAATACAGCCCTTTGAAAGACGTTTTATTTTAATACCCCAACTTCAATGCTAATTGTCTTCTATTATTTTTTTTTTGTATAGATTTCCATATCCTATAGACTTTCGATCTGCATTTTTTATGAGTATTTTCAATGTCAAAGCACCTTGAAAATTTAGCAAAACTATATTTTTCCTAATAAATGGATTAAATTGGGTTAATTTTTGTGCTGTGTAAGCCACTCGTTTTCACCGAACAGATAAGAAAATATTTCGCCTAATCCACTGCTATTTCCTCCACCTCCGCTGTGTGCGTGTTTGGTTCACTTTTGTGTGCATAATTTCATTTCTTCGCCGCCACTTTCCAAGCATTTCCAAGACTGACACACTAAAATTTCCATGCCCACAGCACAAGTGGGTGTAGTCATTGTAGTTGTTTGGCTTATTTGTGGTTGTTTGGCCATTGAAGCTATTTTCGAGTGAGCAAGCAGGGCGTGAAGATAAACCGGAGAGCGGCCAACGGGAGTGGGGTGACGAATTCCCGACACCCAGTTCATTGAACAGTTTAAATTTTCCAATATTTACTTATTAAACTAAAAATTTAAAGCTGTGAGAACTGAATCCTTACTTTTGTTACCAGATTCTGATGATCTTATTGAATTTTGAAAGTTTATCATTTCCCAAAGATCTTAATGCAAACATATTATTCAAAAAATAATAAAATAAATGACTATGTAGACTTTTTAAGGCGTATTTTAAATCAAAACTTGGTCAAATTAATATTTACATATAAAAGAGATATGAATATAGATATAAAAGCTATATTGTATTATATTGTATATTTCGCATTCTAACTCTTGATAAATACACTGAAATCAGAAATAAGTTAATGGATTACAGCTGGAAAGACAAAAAACTGATTTATTTCTAACTTGGGACTCTCAAAATACAGTTATGAATAGTTTTAAATATATTAAAGTGATTAAAACCACATTTGATATGGAATATGCTCATAAATAATAGACAAGTATCCCAAATATGAGGCATCCCGAGAGCACATATCAACCAAATATTGGAAATGGGTATATGTCGAATTAAGCTCCCGTTTTCTTTCCGTGTAGGCGATCGCCTGACCGATCATCCCCCCACCGAGTGATGGGTAGCAAAACAAAGTAGAAAACATTTTGTATTTATTGCATAAAAGGCATCAAAACAACAACTGAATGGTCTACGTTGACACCGTCCAAAGGCAGCAACAGCAACAGCAACAGCAACAACAGCGAAACTGGGGGGCTAGAGAGTGAGCGAGAGAGGGAGAGCGATAGAGTGAGCGCCGAGCTTTCGACGCCGACGCTCTGCCGCGAGTATTGAAAGCGGAGAGAGTTTTGGGGGGAGAGAGCTCCCTCTTTGGCGCTCCGGGGCTCTCTTTCGCGCCAACTGCTCAGCCGCCGCTTCCTTCCTCCCATTTCCACACTGCACTTTCAGTTCAAATTCGAACGCTGACCGAAAACATTCGAAATTCGTTTCGCCAGCCAATTGAATCGAAAGGAAAATCCGAAAACCGAAATCCGCAGTCGTAAATCCAAATCCGTAATCGGATAATCTCTTTGGGACATAGAGATTGCGAACTTTTTTCGCTTTTTATTTTTTTTTCGAGTTGCCCCCGAAAAACGATCGAGAGGAGAGTGAACCGCGCGCTGCCACGCCACCCACGATCGCTTAGATCCATTCCAAAACTCCAGATCTCGGTGACGTCGTCGTAGTCGTCGTCTGCCAAAAAAAAAAAAACAACAAAACAAAACAGCTGATAAGATACTTATCGCTTAGCGCTGCGCCCCCCACCACATTTTCCACTCCCACCGGGCGAAAGAGCTTTATCAGCAGCAGCAGAGCAGCAGCGACGCGGCGCAGCATTTGTGGCCTTGTAATCCGCGGCAGCGCCAAGATGCCACAACCAAAGCAAAAGCCACAACAACAACAGCAGCAGCAGCTGCAGAAGACGCTGCAGAAACATTCCAGCACCAGCCAGAGTTCCAGTGGCACTTCCAACTCTTCCACAATCATCGCCAAACGGGAGCGGGAAAGGGAACGCACACAGACGATCGGCGAAACGGACATGGATCAGTCGGTGCTCAATGGACTGGCGGTGGGCGGGGACGGAGCCGCCGGCTACCACGGACACAAGCGCGAACTGGGACACAGGTGAGCAGCGGCATTGGAAGCCACGGGAAACATATAGCATATGAGCACTTAAAGCGATAACCCTAGCGAGAGATCTTCCCTAGATCGCACTTACTAGATCCATACAAAGTGGTATCAATTATAAATTATAAATATAATGATGTTAGACTAGAGATACTCCCTAAAGCGATACTCCGTAAGGAAAGGTACTATTTTCATCGGTTTAACGGAATTATTTACACTAATGATCTACGAAGGTCTATACATTCTAGATCTATCCAATTGTTCACTATACAATGTTTTAAAGTAGAACATTCGCAAACTACCTTGGAACATTTTAAAAGGCGGTTTGATCGTATTTTCTAGATTGAAACTAATATTAGAATTATTTTTGTATATCTATCGATGTCTTAATTCAGAAAGACTGCTTAAATTCTTAAATATTGCTTTCAAATAGATAACATTTTCCCTTATCTATAAAGATTAAATAAAGGAAAAACTAGGGAACCCGCTGGAATGCTCTTTCAGCGTCGAGAAAGTTCAATCCCAACCCAGTAATCGATCCAACAAATCATGTTGGTGATACCAGGATTTTTGATATCATATCAATAAATGGTATCGCAGCATCTTTAAAGAAATTACAATATATTTTTTAAAGATTGGCAACATTTTTTCTCAACGCATATTAAAGAAGTTTTTGTTTCTTGTTTAATTACTCACGAGTGCAAGTACGCAAGCGTAAATAAACATGCGATGCTTTAAACGTCTTTCTAAAAGTATATTTTCCAGAATGAATCATCTATTTTCGATAAATCGAATATTCCTGACTCTGAAACATGCAATAAAAGTAGCATAAATTGTATTAATAGTTAGGCGGTTATAATCTTTATACCTTAATTTCAAAAATAAAGTCATATCCGTAGGATTGTATACTGCATATTGTGTAAAATGCTAAAAATATTAATATTTCCCAATTTGTGCTACCAAAGTCATGGTATGCAATGTCCCTATGTAATCTTGATTGAATCATTCGACCTTATCTTCTTCCCAGTCTGACTCACACTCGGGCTTGGGATTAGTAGTGATATATATGCACGTATGTGTGAATTTATTCGCATGCCCATATAGTGCACAAATGTGTATCAGACCTTTTTGATTGTTTCGCTTGGTTTTCCGAGCTTTTTACAACGGCTACTATATATCATAGGTTCTTATCTCAATTAATTCGAGATGTCTACTTCTGTGCGGGTCAAGAGGTTGCAGGGGGAGGTGATTAGCTGAGGAGGTGGGCTATTCGACAAGCCCAACTGCTGTTTACAGTTATGAACATGCCCTTGACCATGCCACACAAGCACACTTTTGCATTTCCCCCATTTAATTGGCAGCCTGCCTAATTGCTGCCATGTTGCGGCCCCGTCCACCCTTTTTGCCACCCATCGTTCGATCATTTAATTTTCGGTTTATTTGATTTCTTTCGTTTCGTTTGTGTGTCAATTAATGCAAATTTCTGGCTGTCAACGCGGCGGCAGTTGACTTAATGAGTGCTTGCCACGGGCTAATCTCAAATCTCCCCCAGCCTGCAATCAGAGCGGATTTCTAAGGGCTAGATGGAGGCTAGAGGGAGGCTAGCAAGCTAACTGATGGTGATTCCTCAATCATCGTTGGCTTTTAAATTGGCATATTTATGTTTCACGTTGGCCAATGTTTCTCAGGGCGCCCGCTTAACCCCTGACTGCTGGCCGGGGGTTTAATTCAGATGCAGCTACGTGACCTGCCCTTCTTAACCCCCGTTTCCCTTTTGGCGCTTTCGAATGCAAACAATGTGCCCGCCTCCTCCCTTTTGTACCTGTCTCGACCAACTTCACCTTTTGCCAGCTTCCCCTGATTGTCTTAAATCAGACATGACCTCCAGCTCCTCCGCTGCTGCTCCTTTTGGTCCTTTTACCTCGGCGGGGGTCACGTAGCTGGCAACTTTTATTGCGTAGCCGGAACCGGAAACGCCGCGAACATTCACGACAGGCAGGAACGACGAGAAAAGACAGAGGGCAAAAAGGAGGCGTGGCAATTCATGGGGGGTTTACTGTGGCCATGGAAATGGAAATGCAGCAGCCACAGCAGGAAAAACTTTAATGCAATTTGCATTTCATTGCAATTCACATGCTAAATTTATTTTAAAACGAGCTGCTTTTTTCCATATTCACACAGATGCCACGGCACTGGCTTTTCCAATTTAATTGTCGCAACTTTTTGGCCAAACCTATTATTGTTATTCTTTTGTGGCCGGCAATTTTCAATGGCTAATTTATGCGCATTTTGGGGCCTCTGCACTTGCAGCAAATGAGTACGTTAATTATAAACTTCACAGTTGAAGAAGAACATTTTATAATAATTTATAACTTTTAATGTGCTGAAAATGAAGTTATATATTTTAAATATTCGAGTATTTTATTTAAAAAGAAAATATAAATTTAGCTTTGTTTTCGCAAAATAAAAATGAAAGATCAATAATAAATAACACAATAAAACATTTTTAGCACAAAAAATAAAGAAAACATAAGGAATTCTTGCTGCAAAGTCAAGATAAACAAATAGTTAAATTCCATCTATGCGTACAAAGAACTTGAAAAACGTAGAATTTCCATTTAATTTGCATTGAAAATTTCCGTATTTCTTATTGGCAAGTACAGTTGTGTTATGAATTATAAAGGCTTTTAAAATTAGCAAGCTTACATTTTTAAAAGTATTTAAGAACACTTAATAATATTTATTTATTTATTATTTATGGGCACACTACTTTTTTTTTGTACACCGCCCCACCAAAATCCAAATCAAAGTCAAGGTCAAGGTCGTGTGGAGTGGGTTGGGGTCACGCCCCCTCCGCCCACCGTGGCTGATTATGTTTTGATTGGACGCTGGCTAAATTATTTGATTAATGGGAAATGCCAGAAAATAAACAAAATTTGCGGCAAATGTCACATTTGCAAATTGGAAAATCTCCCCATATTTGCAATTGTGCATATATATCTGCGTATTTGCTCGGATCGGGAATTACAGCTACACGGGTATAAATATAAATACATGTGTTTATAAACAGCGAAGTGGGACGCATTTTGTGGTCAATGTAGAATTTAATTTGGCATTGCGTTCTCGATTATGTCGCGACTCTTGTTTATGGCGCTTATGCAAACTGACATCAGATGATTAGTGGGCGTGGCCCTCTGCTTTGCCGGCGGCCTTGAGCCGCTCAATGCGCCTTGGCATTGGCATTGCATCATTAAAATGCAAATAACATTTTGCTCCTTTTGCTAAGCGGCACGTGTGCCGGAGCCTGAAGGATCCGCAGGAGGAGGAGGAGCAACCGCTCCATCTTCATCTTCAGGTGCAAATAGTTTTCCAACAACTGACAGCAACTTGGCATTCAACAATGTTCTTAACCCACGTCTGGGCTGGGATTCTTGTGGTTTCTGGGTTGAAAGGCTTCAAAATGTCAGCTTACAGCTTCAGTTTTTGAGCTTTGGTCACATTGTTGTGCTCCATTTGCAGTACTTTGTACGCTGGTCACTCTTGTATCGCCGAAATCATCTGAAAATCTTCGGACGTTATTTCTTTTGATAAAAAAAATTAAAAACTACTTCATGTTAAGTTTAAAGTAAGCTTTAAAACCAATTGGTATTCAGAGTTTTGTTTTTTTTTAAATTCGATTTCCAGTTTTTAAAACTAGTTAAAGCTTAATTGAAATATTTTTTAACCAATCAAATATGGCTGTAAATCGTGTTTTACGAAAATCAATAAGAATAGCACATCTGGCGTATAAAAATCGTGTTGATAAAGGTTAAAAAGTTATTTGAAAACCAAATAAAATGGCCACACTTTTTCCATGGTTTACTCCCAATCCTGTGTCCTGTGTGACAACCCTTTCGCCATCCATTTGGTTGCTCCAAATGCGTGGTCACACTTCCCTTTCGTTTTCGTCGTCTCGTCACTTGTAGAAGGATATGTGAACTGGTTGGTAATTATGACTCCGCTCGAAACGAAGAAGAAACGCCCCTCGTGGCGGCTGTGGCTGAACGAACTGCCCCGCCAGGGATCTCGCCCAGGACCCGTCCTCACACTGCGCTACTACAAGCGCAACCCCGCCTTCCGCCCGAGGGCCTCGATGAACGGTAATCCGCCGGAAGCCGAGACTCTGGCCTCCAAGTTCCTGGCCACGCGCAACAAGCTGCTCGGCCTGCTGCATCGTCTAGAGAAGGTGAACACCATCGTCGAGGAGTCCCGCCGCCGACGCAATCCCTTCCAGCCGGCGACTCCGATGGCGCTGGCCTACGAGGAAATCGAAAAGCAGATGATGGAGGGAATCCTGGGATGGTCTGATCACGAGGAAGTCGCCACCAACAATGCCGTCGGCTTGAAAATCTAGTTGGAGCACCGGAAATCGCAAGCTGGAGAGGAATACTAGAACTACTGGGAAATGAATAAATAACTGCCGGCTACTCTTTCATCTCTCTTTTAAAAGGGGGTCTCTTTTGTTAGAAGGGGGTCTCTCCGAAATTGGATTAACCTCGGCACAATGCAATTTGATTAGGTTCGTTTAGATCAAATTAGATGCCACAGTATCATCGCTGGTCAGCCCTTGCTGCCTAATTAAGTCGCCGGTATTCACATGCTAAGCCGCCCTCAATCAATTTAGGGGCTGCTTCTCCATCTAACCACCCCGAACCGAACCGAACAGAACCCTTCAGCGGTCTGTCAAGGTCGCACGCGATGAAGCCCCCCGAAACCCAGAACCCCTGACAATGAAATTGAAAGTGTTTACTATATAGAGCAGGGGAGAAATAGAAAGCGCCAGGAGAGCACATGAAAAAACGGTGTGCCACGCATGACTATGATGGGTCGTAGGCCCCTGAAAAAGTTCCAAATGGATGGATGGTGTGCCCCATTTGGATTACGCTTTAGGTATTTCTGTATTTTCGGGGGCTCAGTTCGTTTTCGCCGCGAGCGCAGTTCGGGCGATTTTCTCCGCTTTTAGTTTCAGTTTTGCAGGATTCGATTAGAGTGCGTGTGTTTTTGGGGCCAAGATCTCTCAGCTCCCAGCTCCTAATCCTCTAACCACTGACCATCTCCCAAGCGTCTTCATTTTTTTCATTTTTCTTTCGTTTTTTTTTTGGCTTTTATTGCGAGTGTGTGTGGCTGGCAATTAAGGTCTTAATTAGACGTAAACTCGTGTCGGAAGTGAACTGCGAATTGCTTTGTCACATTGCTCTGGACAGCTAGCACTTGTCAGCAAAACTATGGTTTAACGTCAAGTGAAATAGTATCGAAATATGTGAAAATAGATTACATAAATAAAATACAAATTTTAATTTATTCACAATCAAAATTATGGGGCTTAAAATCCATTAGGACCATTAAAAGTTATTTAATCTCTATAAGTATACATTGGATTAAAATAACCATTTGAATAAGAATTTGAACAACAGCTTAAGCCTAAATCCAATTTTGAATTTTTGAGAACAAATCATCTTTAATCAATTTTGAACTTTTGAGAAGAATTAATCTTTAATACATTTTGAACTATCGAGAATAATTTATCTTTATTTAATTTTCAATTTATGGGAACAATTTATCTTTAATTTGATTGATATAATATGATATCATTACCTTTAGAATATAATCCAGTGTCTACTTATAAGGAAACCCAACGGCTAAAATCTTAAGAACTGATAAATTTTGAATAATCCTTTCCAAACGTGCCAGTTTAATTGGGATGGAAAGACGAGGTATTTCCTTCTCAATTCAAGAGAACTTATCCTAATTCCCACTTCCGGCTGTCCAGTGTAGCAGCAACAAATGTGCTGCTCTTCGGTCCAGAAATGTGTGCATGTGCGTGTTGGGCGATGCTATTTGGTTTTGTGGTTATGCTTATTAAGTCAATTATCGCCCAATTGCGCCGCCCTGGACCGCATAGGTGACCGCTGGTCGTTGGTCGGAAGCTTTGATGATAGGAAACTGGGAAGCTGGGATACCGGGATTCTGAGATGCCCATCCTCCTTTCCCCCTAAGAACCTTGGCCACACCTCAGTTGTTTTTGTTTGCCATTTTGATTTTAATTGGAGCCAAAAACACCAAAGGACTCTTATGAGATTCTCTGACACGACCTTGTGGCTGAATTGAGTTTCGGTTTCGGGGTTTCTGGGTATCGGAAGAAGTAAGGGGATTACCTTTGCCGATACGTTTATAATTGAATTTAAAGAGCTCTCTCGTTTACTCTTGTATTTATCAATTGAAAGCGAAAGCCTGGGGATGAAAACAGCTTAACCGCAACAATCAAGGCTTTTGATATTGACAAATAGCCCAGGGGGTTTTACTCTCCAAGTAACAGACAATTAAGGACATCCCAAGATGCAGTGGCGGATTCGGGAATTGATTGGGGGGGAATATATTTGTTGCATACTTTTTGAATACACAACTTCCTATCATTTTTCAACCGAGTGGGGGGATTTCAGAAGAACTATTTTGTTGCATTCTTGTTGAGTTCTTTCATTTAATTTTTCAACCGATAGTGGGGGATTCCAGAAGAAATTTTATGTTGCATACTTTTTGAATACACCATTTCCTTTCATTTTTTAAACGGGAGCGGGGGGCGAAAGGGTTTATTACCAAAGAACTTTTTTGTTGCTTACTTTTTGAATACGCAATTTCCTTTCATTTTTTAACCGAGTGGGGAGATTTAAGAAGAACTTGTTTTTATTAAGTTCCCAATTTCCCCCCTTTGGCTCCTCTCATGGCTAAGATGAGTTGAAAATCTGAGCAAACAATTCAGTCATTGATTATTCCGTAGAACAAATTAAGATAAAAGCTTTCGCTTGACAAAAAACTACTTGAATTTAAATTGTCTGAAGTGTCTAATCAGCGCCCTTGCGCAATTGCAATGATAAGTTTATCATTATTGATGGCCCGTTTGTCCGGGTTGTTAGGTGCTTTCCTTTGGTCACCCACCTGCTGTTGTCCTCTGTACAGCAAACACCTGTACAGTAAACACCCCCAAAGGGCAGTGGCAGTGGCAGTGGCACGTGGCAGCTGCAGTACGTCAGCAGCTGGGGCTCAAATGTCTCAATTGCAAGCTTCTCTCAGTTAGGAGAACGACAACGACAATAATGATGATGATGATTCCAAATATATATATAACTGCAACAGCTTTACTATGGGGATTACGTACCATGACGCATACGCAACGTTGGCCAGCGGCTACCACGTGTCCAAAAAGGGGAATAGAATGGCCATTCAATGGGGGAAAACAGGGATAGGAATGAGAACCAAATTGATAAACTTGCATTGGCATGATATGAATTTTGATTTTACAAGTGAGTGTGCAATTTGGCCCTGGCCAATTGAGGGGGCGTTGAGTTATGGCCATTATGTGCTCAGCTCCCTCGGAAGCAGAAGATGAAGCAGCTGAATCTAATCAACAGCAGCAGCAGCATCAGCTGCACAATAAACCTTGTTGCTATTGCAAGGACATGGACACGGACGACATGGACAACTCCAGTTGACAATCCTTGACGGGCAGCGCAGACTAACTGGCAGGGACAATCCTTTTCGGAGGGGAAAAATATAGAGTAGAGAGAGAAAAGAACGATAAGCATTCGCCCATAAATTCCCATTTTCGACAGCCAACGAAATAAAAAGGAAATTCGCACTTGAGCAAAGCAATTTCCACCGCTCTTAGCACTTGGACCATTTTCATTTTCATTTCACTGCCCCCGGAAAACGTAAACAAGTTAACAATGCATAATAATCACAACAACAATAACAACAACTGGCAGCAGCTCAACGGCAACTGTTCAAGAACTTTGAATGCCACTGGCCACTTCAGCCACTCCCACCGAACTGGGGATTCCCCGGCTGTTGGTGGCAGAAGTAGTGGTGGTGGTAGTGGCAGTGGCAGTGGCATGTCCCAGACAGCTGTCACGGACACTAAGATGCCGCCAGGAGACGGAGCCAGAGCCACTGCAGCCTTGTGGTGGCCACTGCAGCAGCCGCACCGTGCGTAAGTCGAACTGGAATTAGACCATTGCACAGTGCGCCCTCCCATCGGTGAAAGAAAAACGAACTAGAGCTTGACAATTACCGATATTTTCGATTAAACTAGAACTTGACAATTGCCGATATTTTCGATTACAAATCGAGAAATAGGAAACTGTCGATGTGTTCAAGCCAGGGACCGTAAATAACAGTTGAGACTCTTATTTTAAAAGGCCTACTGAGATTTGTTCAATTTTTTATCAACATTTTTACTGGTTTTTATGCACTTTATAGACATGAACAAATAAGGGGCTGTCCATATATTACGTAATCACGTTTTTGGTGATTTTTGACCCCCTCCCCCCCCCTGGTGATCAAACGTAATCATTCAATAAACAAAACCCCCCCCAATGATTACGTAATCCCAAGAATAAAATTTTTTTTGTTTTAATCTGTGGATTCAAACTGAGATGCAACCCAATCTTATATATTGTTTATAAATGGAGTTTGGTATGACACATTCGGTTCGTCTACGCTGAAATTATCTCCAACATACTCTTCGTCAAGCCATTCCAGGTCTTCGCGTCCTTCGTGTGATTGAACCACTAAACATTTTCTTTTTCGCCGCCCAGCCACTAAAAAAAATTTTTCTCTGCTTTCCTATCTAAGTTTGTAGATATAATTAAAGGAAAAAAGTTTTTAAATAAATTCTTTAAATAAAAAAATTTATATAAAATGATTACGTAATCATTGTGCAAGACCCACCCCCTCCCCATGTAATCAAACATAATCATTTCAATGACCCCCTCCCCCCCTAGGTGATTACGTAATATATGGACAGCCCCTAACAGTTAATTTGCTTTCCAGATTGCATATGCTTTGTGGACAAGAGTAAAAACAGTGTTATTTTTGACGTTTAAAACAAAATATCACAGTAGTCTTTTTAAAATAAAAGTCTCAAATGACTGTTATTTACGGTCCCTGGTTCAAGCTCTGGCCAGAAACAATTATAATTTTTTGGTTTTTTTTTTACTTTAAGCGTAGTACTTACTTTAATCGAAAAGCCTACGAAATGCAAATTCTCCATACTTAATTATTATCACAAAATTTGCCACCTAACATTTTTTGTAAAGAAATTTTCGTTTCGTTGCCTTTTTGATTAAAGTGATTTTATTTTTTTTAAACTCCATAAAGAAAAAAATGAGAAAAATTATATAAAATTGTACTAAAAATCAGTCTTACACTCCGAGAAAATAATTAATTTCTTTTAATTTGTTCTAATATTATTTTGGGAATAACCAAAACGATTGGTAATATGGCTAAATTATTAAAGATTCTTTCTCAAAAAACACTTTATCAAAAACACAAAAAATCTTATCCAATATTCTTTAAGTCTTCTTTTCACTACAATAAGATACAGGGATGGTCTAAAGTATTTGCACAAATCACACGTACTTACTCATAAGAAATGAGCAAATACTTTTGACCACCCCTGTATTAAAAAATATATATTCAAAATATATTAAATATTTCTGTGTAATTATCATTTTTATTATTTTTGATTATTTATTTTTTCTAATAATATGCACATACTTAAAATCTAAAGGAGAAAATAGATTCCTTCTACAATATCTTAAACCAACAATTTCTAACAGTTCGAGAGCATAATTATATTGAAAAACAGGACTTACGCAGTGCTCTCGATTCAGACAGTGTCAATGGACCGATTATGAGAAAATATAATCAGCTAAAAACAGAAAAGCACGTATTTAATGTGCAATGTGGTATGTGGTATAATCACACGTACATATTAAAGATGCTAATGTGTACCGATGACCTTTTGTCGTCGTTGGAAAATGTTGATCGCATCGCTGCGGCGGTGTAAACAAAACACTGCCAATCAGTTCGTTGACGCACTTGAGCATTCAGCCAATGGAATTGAGAGCTCTGGATTTCTGGCAAAAGCTGAAATTCGCGTCTTGTTATCAATGCAAATGAAAGGCAAACAACTCCCTCCTCCCTAGGAAAACATAGTGGATATATGTGCGAGTTTTCTCATACAAATATTGCTCATACGCAGCGTATAACCAACCAAAGGCAAACATCGCCTAATGGCAGCCGCGCCATATACACCATATCTCTATATCTCTGTCATCACAATCAATAATCTGGGCAACCAATCTGTTCGAACTACTTATTTATTATTCCCAGGGACTGCGCGAGTATTTTTAGATTTAGATTTTCAAAATCAGTCGCATTAATTGACGCGCAATCCGCAATCCGCTGGCAGTGACAATTAACCCATACAAGCGGCGGTTTAGTGAAATTTCATTTATGCATTTATTAGGCTATTTTTACACACACTCGACGACGACGATCTCTAATTAATCCGTTTAGTCACATCCCTGATTTATTTTGGCGGAAATGTGCAGCGAATCTGTACCTTTTGACCTCGAATTTGTAATGTTTATTGAGTTTGCATTTAAATGGCATTTGAAATGAATTTATTTTTTGAATTTATTTTAAATATAAAACAATTAAATCCGTATTTAAATTTAATGTATAATGAGTTGAATTTAAATGCCATTTAAAATTAATTTTATTTTTTTAACATTTAAATTTATTTTAAATTTTTTTAGTAGGTACTTAATTGTTATGTATAATAACTTAAATTCAAATATCATTTAAAATTAATTCAATTTCTGAACTTATTATATAAAACTTATTAATACTATTATTATAGAAAACTATTTAATCAGTACTTTAATTTTCTGTATAATGAGATGAATTTAAATGCCACATAAAATGAATTTAATTGTTCTATAATTAAATTAGTTTTAAAAAAGAAAACTATTAAATCAGTATATAAATTTAATGTATTGTGAGTTAAAATTAATTTTTTTTTATCAATACTTAAATTTACATTTATTTTAAATAGGAAACTTTAGAGTTTATTTCGTAATTGTGATATTTGTAATATTAAATTTAAATGTCATTTAAAATGAATTTAATTTTTGATTATTACTAAAATATTTTCATTTATTTTAAATATTTCAAACTCAATTATTTGATTAGTAGTTAAATTTAAAATACGTTGTTTCATCTACAAAACCCAAATCGATTAAAAGTCAGCAACATTCTTGGCTGTCTTTTGGGAAAATTGGCAAAGCTGCTTTAGCTGGTGGAATGGAAAATGGGAAATGGAAAACGGAAAAATTAATTATTGCAGCGAAAACTCAGCGCCCCTTTGTGGCGTGTGTTTCTCGTCTCAGATTTATGCATTCTGTTCGAATTTGGGTTGACAAAGGCAACAAAAGGGTCACGGCAACAAACAGCGAATAAGATCAGCCAACAGCCAACAATGTTGGCCAAGAGGGAAGATTCAGGAGGACCCAAGGAGGATGCAACTTTTTCGCTTATTTGGCAAATGTTCAAGTGGACCAGAATTGCCAAAAGGGACAGCAGAATAAATAAACGCACAGCACGGACACCCAGCACACACATAAAAAACTGCCACCGAAGACCAAAAAATGAAATATAAAAATCTGGGAATTAGGCAACAAAAAACCGAAACTGAAATGCTCTTTTTTTTGTGGGAGGGGGCAGGGATAATCCCCTTGCCATGATTAATCGAATTATTGATTCGAGAGATATTAAAAAGTATTCAAAATATGGAAACAAGAAGAGAGGCACATAAAAAGCACATTATTTCCTAACCATGATAAATCGAAATCATCAACTAACCCTTCCCCGAACAAAAAACCCCAAAAATTAGGGTATCCCAAAACATTTTGTCCACGCTCATCCCGCTAATGAGTTTTCCCACAAAAAGGCGTGGCTCACACACACACATACATACAATGTCTGTCGACTGCCGCAAGGGGCGTGGCAACCCCGAGCCGCCCACAACAACTTTTCTACACTAATTGCTGACCGCAGTTGCCGTTGCAGTCGAAGCCGCGGCGAATTGAGTCCGAGTACCGCCCTCCGGCTGGCGGAAAATGGAAAAGCCCGTTGGTTTGAACACCATCAAAGAGCAATGACAAAGTTGAAAATTGAATTTCACCCGCTTTTCACGCCATTTCCATGCCGCATTTTCTCAGCTTTTGGCTCGTTTTTCACGCCATTTCATTTGTGATTCCACGCCATTTTGATAACCCCTTGACTTCTAATACAGATTGAACGATCAGCCAAATCGATCGACTTGAAATCAACATTCCAGAATATAAATAGTATTAGTTTTAAATAGTTTATGTGTGTTAAATCAATGGGGAATGTTTAATATACATAATTTCTTAATAAATTTAATTTCATAAATAAATAAACATTTTATAGTATTTTATTATATGTATGTACTAAATTAAATAGTTTATATCTTTAATCAATGGGGAATGTTTAATACAGTTACGTAAAAAATTTAACTTCATAAATAAATCAAAATTCTATAATACGGCATTATACTAAGTTAAATAATTGATATCTTAAATCGATCGGAAATGTTTAATATTCTTTCTCAATACATTAAATATACACTTAATGTAAATCTTGATACAAAATTTTTATGATTGCCAGTGGTAAATATTAAAAATATTCTTTCAGAAAGAAAGAATAACAATTACTCAAGACATTAACTAGTATAAATATTTAGGTACAAAAAAATAATTATACAAATATTTTAAACATTTTTGGAATACGATTTTTGTTAATGATAAATTTTGAAATGACAGAAAAATTTAATAATTTAAAGCCCAAATGTAAGCAATTAATATATTTCCGCTGTAGTTCCGCTGTCAATAATCGCTTTCCTTCTTTTGCAGAGTGTTTGTAAACAGATCGTTGCATTTGGAGAACATCAAATACTATGGCTTCGATATGGACTACACCTTGGCAGGTGAGTTGGCACCCTAACACACTTATTAACCAATAATAATTGAATATCATATCCAAAACAGAGTACAAGTCGCCGCAGTACGAGCAACTGGGCTTCAATCTGGTCAAGGAGCGACTGGTTTCGATGGGCTATCCCAAGGAGATACTGCAGTTCGAGTACGATCCCACCTTCCCCGTTCGCGGCCTGTGGTTCGACACGCTCTACGGCAATCTGCTGAAAGTGGATGCCTACGGCAATATCTTGGTTTGTGTTCATGGCTTTGAGTTCATCAAGCAGTAAGTGTAGTTAGTTGCGAATCCAGAAACTCATAACTAAAGGTTGTTTTGTTTGTCACCAGTCACCAAGTCTACGAGTTGTATCCCAACAAGTTCTTGAAACTGGACGAGTCGCGTGTCTATGTCCTCAACACGCTCTTCAACCTTCCGGAAACGTATCTTCTGGCCTGTCTCGTCGACTTCTTCACCAACAGCAGCGAATTTGTGCGGTAAGTTTGGTGGAGCTCTCACTTTTGGTACTCCTCTTTGTATCTCTATAGACCCCTTGCTTTCGTAATTATTTTGGGGTCCTAAACCTAAACCTAAACTGTTTTTGTAATTAAGGGAATACCAACTTTATTTAAATTTTTATTTTTCAGCTAAATAACTATTTAATTTTGGTAGGGAAAATAAAAGACTAATTTATAGAGCTTATTAGCTATATTAAAAACAGTATTTTGCAATAATTTTTTATTTATTTAACAAATTAAGCTTAGCATACAATGTAAAACTTAATGCGGTGGCCTTCTACTCAATAATTTAAAAAAAAAAATTCAAAAATTTTATAAAAATACATTTTTTAAAAAAAAAAAATAATACATCAAATATAAATTAAAAAATTATCATCAAATATTTGTTTAATCAATACAAAAGTAAATAAGAAATTGTAAATATTTTGGTAACCCCTTTTCAGACTGATTAGCGCACCCCCTTTATCTGAGTCTTCTTCCCTTTCTCCTACTTTCTCCTCTTCTCTCTTCTCCCCCGACAGCGTTGAGCGCGGCATCAAAGCTGGCGATTTCCTTTTCACCTACAAGTCGATTTTCCAGGACGTCCGACGTGCCGTCGACTGGGTGCATTCCGATGGCGATCTCAAGCGTCGCACCACGCAGGTAAATACTAGATACAATATATTTCAGGGTTGCTCAAAGAAGAATCGACGTGTGCCCGCAGGTTGAGCAACCCTGATATGGATTATTAAACCAAATACTATAATTTCGATTCTCTCTAATCCTAGAACATGGCCCACTATGTGAAGAAGGACGAACGCTTGCCCACCGTTCTATCGCGCATCCGCGAATCGGGCGCCAAGCTCTTCATGCTAACCAACAGCGACTACACGTACACCAATGAGATTATGACCTACCTGTTCGACTTCCCGCACGGCGCCACTCCCGAGGAGCCGCATCGCGACTGGAAGAGCTACTTCGATGTGATCGTGGTGGATGCCCGCAAGCCCCTCTTCTTCGACGAGGGCACCGTGCTGCGGATGGTGGACACGAAGACGGGTTGCCTGAAGATCGGCACCCACATTGGACCGCTGCAGCCGGGCCAGGTTTATTCCGGCGGCTCCTGTGAGCTCTTCACCAAGTTCATCAATGCCAAGGGCAAGGACGTACTCTATGTGGGCGATCACATCTTTGGCGATATTCTCAAATCGAAGAAGATTCGCGGCTGGCGCACCTTCCTCATCGTTCCGGAGCTCGTGCGAGAGTTGCATGTGTGGACGGATGAGTGCCAGCTGTTTGCGGAGCTCCAGAATCTGGACATCAAGCTGGGCGATCTGTATCGCGACCTCGATTCGAGTGCCAAGGTCAAGCCGGATATTTCGCAGCTGCGCACCTGCATCCGGGATGTGACGCACAAGATGGACATGTCGTACGGCATGATGGGCTCGCTCTTCCGTTCCGGTTCGCGGCAGACCTTCTTCTCCAGCCAGGTGGTGCGATATGCCGACGTCTATGCGGCCACGCTGCTCAACCTCATCTACTACCCCTTCTCGTATATGTTCCGAGCGCCGGCCATGCTCCTGCCGCACGAGTCGACGGTGGCCCACGATCAGGCCCACCAGCCGCCTCCGGCCCTGGCCTCCCAGGTCACCGGATCCTCCTCGGTGGCCGCCTCGCCCGATGAGCCGGCCCGCATTGTGGCGGGCACCGAACAGCAGATTAAGGACTCCAAGGACTTGCATCGCGCCGTAAGATATTACTATGCTATATTATCAGGGTTCGGAAATTGACACACATGTTAAAAACATGAAAAATCGTATTTTACAGTGTCAAATGGAAAAATGTTAGAATGTGAAAAATAATTGTTAACGCACACAGCTCACTTGTGTTTTTTACACAATGTGTTAGTAACACGACGTGTTTTTTACACACTGTGCTTTTAACACAAATGAAAATTACATTTCACTGACATTAACAAGCCTTCCCTTCGCTCATGATATCTTATATGTTACTTTTAACCATTTCAAAGCATATGTGAATTATTACACTCTAGAAAGGCGTGTTCAGTTCAACATACAATACTGTCACTCTAATGTCACAAACTTATTGTGTTAAAAGCACGTTGTGTAAAAAACACGTCGTGCAAATTACACAAATGACATGTGTGTGTTATTTATGTTTCTAACATATGTAGAGTACAATTATTTACACACAAGTCAAAAATTTTTTTTTAATTTAACACTTTGACATTTAACATGTTAATAACACAAGTTTTTTACAGTGTGTGTTATTTTCCGAACTCTGCATATTATCTTGAATATAAACCAATCTTTCATTTGCAGAGCTCCATTGTGCACACTCGTCCCTCGACGCCCACCGTGGTGACCCACACCCATGACGAGGACTACTCCGAGGAGGAGGAGACGCCCAGTGGCGCCGAGTCTTCCACAGGGCAGCCGCTGCGCGATGCCTCCGAGGATTAGGAACCACGGCCCCTCCGCCTCCCCAAAAGCAGGAATGTTTGGATCAACGAATTTCCTTCTCCTACTCCACAATCCCAAACCAATCCCGAAAAAAACCCCTCCCAAAATCCACAACGTGGTCGAAGCAATTGTGAAACATACGATTTTCCCTGGCGATTTTACCCGAGCACAGATATGTGAAACTATATATACCATATATGATATATACATTATACATTATACATTAGCTGGTTCCGTACATATAATGTGTCTTTTTTTTTATTAAAACAATAAATTGCTGTAATTGAAAGAGAAAAACTGGTGTAAATAACTTGGGAGACGTGTTTAATAGAAAATAAGAAACGAAAACCTGAATATGTAACTAAATAAAGATAGTGCTTAGTGGCGGATACTTTTATTAGATGTGTAAAAAAAAAAAATTTAAAATGGCTCCTGACACATTAAATTACCATTTAGCCAAGCTATGATATGCTGCTTATAGTTCTTGGTGACCCCAACGAATTAGTTTTAAGGTATATGGGAACTTTATAATAGGAACATTAAGCCAAGACTTGTCTGTTATAAATTAGTTTCCATAAACAAATAGACCTTTCCTAGTAATATTCAAGTTAAAATGAAAATGAATATTTCTTGGTGACCCCGACGCATTAATTTTAATGTTAAACTTAAACCAAGACGTTCCCTTGAATATACCCATGTACAAAAGTATCTTTTCTAGTATATTCAGGTTAAAATTAGTGCTGCTAATAGTTCTTGGTGACCCCGACGCATTAGTTTTAACTTTATATTCCCAACAATTGAACCAAGACTTCCCCATTAATATGGCCATAATCAAATTGACCTTTTTTAGTAATATTCAAGTTTAAATTTAAATGCTGTTAAAAGTTTTTGGTGACCCCGATGCTTGAGTTTTAAGGTAAACATAAATATAAATACAAATTGATTTTTTCTAGTAATATTCTGGTTAAAATTTATTGATGCAGAATGATATGGTGTTGAGCTCACTGCTTGGCGATCTTGTTAGCATCGCACTGGAGATCTGCGTAGATCTGCTCGTCCTGGATTTCGCTCTTGATCTCCGTGGCGAGCTGAACGGCTTTGTCCTGCAGGAGAATAGGGTTTCATATTAGATTCCAAAGACATAAAAATTAAAGAACCAAAGCACTTACATTGAAATAGACGTTCTTCTTGCCCGTCTGGAACTCTCCGAACAAAGCAAAGACATCGACCAGCTTGCCGTGGGCACCGAACTTGTCCGAGATCAAGGAGAACAGATGCTTCACCGTCTCCTGCTCAACGTTGGTGGTGTCCTTGCGGATAAAGATGGCCCGGGGCAGCTGTACGTCCACGTTGCAGGCCAGGAAATCGGTGACCGGTCGTCGCTCCAAGCTGGGGCACACCAGCTGCGAGTCCTTGTGCTTCTCCAGCTCGGAGGCGGGCACAATCTCCACCTCGCCGTCGGCACTGGAGGACACACGGCAGGCGTCCAGGCCACGTCGCTTGTTCAACAGGGCGGCCGCCGCACGAGAGCGTCCACAATTCTCGTTGAATTTGCTATGGTTTCAAAGACATATATGGTATTTATTAAATATATTCCAAACAGCACTTGAAGTTTAATTGATCGTTGGAAAAGTTCCAAGTATCTTATAAGGAGATAAAGACTTGATTGATTATATATGGGTCTTCCAAATGGTTAAGCAAATATAAAGATCATTTGCTGATTACATAGACAGTTAAATAGATTGTTCAAAGTGTTCAAGGGGCAAAAGATTGATCGATAATACTATTCTATCAATTATAGAAGAATCTTCAGATCTGCTATCATTAGGTGGGGAACCCGTCTTAATGGATCACTTCAAATCACAAATTGATTTGATACTTTCTAAGGGCTAAAGAGTTGATAATCTCTTATGGGTATAGGAATCGTTAGATTTACAATCGTTAATGTATCATTGAAGAATCCTTAGGAGATTTAGAATTAATTAATTATAGAAGAATCTTGAGATCTTCCCGGTTTACTAATAATAGGAAAAGTCTTGAGAAATCATTTCATAGCTACCTAGTTTGGTTCGAAATAATCTAAATCTTTTTCGGGTCTAAGGACTTGACGATCACTCATGAGTATAAGAAACTTTAGAGTTGCAATAGTTAATGGGATCATTGAAGAAACCCCAGGGGATTTAGATTTAATCAATTATAAGAATCTTGAGATTTTTCGTTTTACTAATAATAAAGAAAGTCTTGAGGGATCATTTCATAGTTACCTAGGTAGTTTCGAAGTAATCTTAATATATTTTAGGTCTGAAGACTTGAAGATCACTCGTGGGTATAAGAAACCTTAGAGTTACAATCGTTAATGGATTTAGAATTCATCAATTATAATAATCTTTAGATCTTCCGTTTTACTAATAATAAAGAAATTCTTGATGAAACATTTCATAATCTAAATCCTTTTCAATCCTAATAAATAAATCCTAATAATAAAGAAATTCTTGATGAAACATTTCATAATCTAAATCCTTTTGACGATCACTCATAGGTATAAAGAACTTTAGATTTAGGAGATTTAGAATTAATTATTTGTAGAAGCATCTTAAGATCTTCGATTTTACCAATGAAAAAAGTTCTTTTAGATCATTTCAGGACTACCTAGGTTGGTTCGGAGTGATCTGAATCCTTTTCAGGACTAAAGACTTGTCGAAACTTGAGATCTACAATAGTCAATGGATCACTGAAGAAACCCCAGGAGACTCAGTAAGAGATCTACTCACATGCTGGCCTTTTGCAGGGCCTCCCGGTTGACACTGGGTGCTGCCACGGCCACCAGGACATCGTCCTGGGCGCGCTGCTCGTAGACCACCGGCTGCAGCTCGTTGCGACGGGCGTCCGCATAGCCGGAGGCGGGCAGGATGACCAGATCGGCCTCCTTCTTGGTCAGGGCCACCACACAGTCGGTGGACTGGACGCACTCGAGCTCGGGACGGGCATCGCGGGCATAGGCCGCCTGGTGGAGGGCCTGGCACTTGGCGAACTCATCGTCGTTCTGGGCGCACAGACGGATCTTTCGGATGGCACTGCCGTCGCGCTCGATCACATCCTTGTAGCCGGCGCGCTCCAAGTAGACCTTGGGATCGATGGCCGCCTCCTTGCTGTGGTACACGGCATTCGGCTGGATGAGCAGATGGGCGGCGGCGTCCTTGTTCTTCGCCTCCAGCCCGTTGGCAAAGAATCGCTCCAGGCGCGACTGCAGCTGATGCAGCTGCTCCGGATTGTGGACGGCCTTCTCGTTGGAGATGTAGCCGCTCCAGGGGCGCTGGGCCCAGGAGCAGGCGGGTCCGGTGATCGGTCGCCGGGTGCCGTCCTCGCACAGATACTCAAAGTTCTCGGCATTGCCCTCCGCCGGCGGAGCATCTGGTCCGGCGCCCGGCAGACCGAAGTACTTCTTGATGTACTGCACCTTCGAGAAGGCCACCTCACCCTGGCCCTTGTCCAGGCACCGAATGGCCCCGTCGTAGCCACTGAACTTGTCCGGATAGTTGCACTGCTCCGGCTTCTCGCAGAGGGCGCACAGATTCGAGTACTTCTTCTTCAGCAGGCGATCCGTTTCGGGATGCGTGGAATAGGTGCCCACCAGGCAGGATTGGGTGAAGAACTCCGACAGCGACTTGAGTTCGCGCTCCGTGGCCGAGATCTGCGGATCGGCCGAGACCTTCAGGACATGCGTGTTCTTCAGCTTGGTAATGGGGATCTTGTAGCCCACGTTGCGACCGAAGCCAGTGTGGCAGGACTTGGCGCCGCGCAGCTGCTGCAGGGTGCGGATGGGCGAGTCCTTCTTTACCAGGATGATGCCCTCGTAGCGGAAGGCGGCTGGAGAGGGGAATGAATGAGCGGGAGAATTAGTAACTCTATGTGTAGTTTAATTAATCGTTTTTTATAGACTTCTGGTCCTTCGAGCCGTTTTCGATTAGAGTCCCTTCGTCTATTTACGTATTCTAATATTTCCAATACTTTATAGGCAGCGTTGGGATGATACGAAAATAGCGGATAGGGAAGAGATACCAATAAGATACCAACATCTCTATTTATTATTTAGTTGAATCTCAGATGTTTGGTCCTTCCAACCTTTTTATATTAATTAAATCTTTGTCTATACCGAAATTCAAGTATTTTATAGATCGTGCTGGGATGATAGGAAAATAATTAAGTAAGGGAAGCTTACCAACTGCCCAATTTATTATTTAATCAGATTTTAGTATTTGTATTCTAAATTAATTAAATATCGAAATACCGAAAATACCGAATTTTATATATTTTATAGGTAATTTAATAGGAAAATGAACGAATTAGGGAAGAGTTTTTTGCACTCATATCTAGATTTTTGGTCCTTCGAGCCTTAAATTTCGAATACCTTACAGATAATGTTTAAATGTGAGCCTTGGTCACTCTGTTCGAGCCCTTTGGTTCGTGTCATTGCTTTTCAACCAGCGGTAATTTCTCATTATTTAACCTGAACTCATAATAATCCCTAGATAAAGCCTAATCTCGACCTTTTATCACTCATTCTCGTTAAATAGCCTTCGTTTACTCACCATCTTTGTCCTGCTGGGTGCGGATCTCGGAGACGACGCGATAGTCCTCGTTCTTGCGGTGATAGGCGATGTACATGTCCTCCGGCTCCGTGGCCAGAACATCGGCCTTGCGCTGCTCGATCAGCTCCAGGCAGTCGACTCGATCCCGTCCAGCCACGCACTCCATGCGGATGCCCGCCTCCGAGGGATCGGCCAAAAGCTGCTGGCACTCAGCAAAGTAGATCTGCGGCACACACAGACGATCTGAGGAATAGATAACAGAATAGATTAGATTTAACCGAAGATTGAGAAACGGGTTAACCTACAGATGGGCTCCTCCGCCCGGGAGGACGGTGGGCTGAGGATCAGGAGGAGGGCGGCCACCGCCAACGGCAACCACGAGCGATTCTCTCTCGGCGACATCATCTCGAAACAGTTGAAGCTCGACTGTGGAGAATCCGGAGCCGGCTGATGGCTTTTATAGCCACCCAGCTTTCGTGCTCTTTTTTTGCATTTGTTTGATTCTCTTTTTTTGCTTCTGTTTGTTTGCCCGGCGAATAGTAATAAGGAATAATAATAAAAAGAAAAATAATACAACAAATAATAATAAAGAAAGAGGGAGACCGGTTTTTCACCCATGGGATGGGGAATAGGAATCCAGGCCTATCTATACTCCCGCAAACGAGTTTTGCTAGATCAGTAGAAATCCATACGATATTTTTGCAATCC